TTTACAAAAAAGTATAGAGAACAAAACGAAAAAAACAAAACAAACAGAACAAAAGAAACGTGCATGCAGCTTGGGGCCGGGGCCGGGGCATCCCCGAGTCATGCTGCTCCCTCCTGCAGGGGAGTTTGAGGGTTTAGGAATGGGGGAGAGAGGGGTTAAGGGGTGAGGATTGGGTGAAAGGTGTTCGGGCGAATGTGACCTGACCTTGATCGTTGGCCTTTGGCGCACCGTCGCTCGAAAACCAAACATACACATACACAGAGGGAGTCTGCACCTTATGGTACCATTCTGAACTCTAGGCAAAAGAAAGACATAAAAAATGATTCCAAATAAAAACAATAAAAAAGCAAATTGTTAATTTGGCCTCTGTTTTCTTTCCTCTTTGTTTACACAAAGAGCAAAACTTTTTGTTTGTCCCAATAAAGGAGTCAAGCTCTTCTTGTGCTTGCTTTCATATCTCACAACAAGGCTAAGGATGTGCACGAACATGTGCAGAGCGCCTTCACCTAAAGAGGTTACCAAACTGTGCTGAACCACTGCCCCTCGTGCTCATCTGTGACACTGTTACCATGGTAACACTGGTAGAGACAACAGCCAACCTATATGTGACAGTACAGCTGCGTCAGTTTGCTACTAACTTCTGCACACTGTCTAGACTACTCATCCCTGTGACCCTGCAGTAAGCTCGTCTCTGATTGGCTGGGGCGCTACTGGGTGGAGGACTCCACTTGAATCAAGTGCTCTAATAGGGGCTGCACAAAAAGTAAGAACAAAGAAAGGGAAGAAACAGTAGAGAGAAGTGAAGGATGTCGGACAAAGTTCTACTGCTGCCGGTCAGAGGAGAAAACAAAGAAAGCAAAGCTCTGAAAACAAAAAAGTGTAAGGAGGAGGAAGAGGGAAGGTGTGAGACATGATTGTCAGACTCCAGCTAAGCTTTGATTGGCTAGTTCTGTCTCTCCCTCTCTCTCTTTCTCTCTCTCTCATTCCCTGTTTCTCCATCTGGCTTTTCATTGGTTGACCGAGGGCTTCTTGGTGTCGATCTCCGGGGCGGGTTCTTGCCCTTTTCTCAGCTGTGGTCCAGTAGCTGTGGTCCATTATTTCGTCATTTAAGGGATATTGGGGGACGGGTTTTGCGGTCGCCATCCGGTCACTAGGACCGAACGCCTGGCGGCGGTCCTGAGCTGTCCAATGATGTCTGAGATGCCAGTCGCGTGAGTGGAGCTAATGTAGGGTCCACCAAAGAGGACGGTGGAAACAGTTTGTACCAGCCAATCACCGTGCTTGAGAGGTCCAGGTCCTCCAGTAGGATCTGTGCTACACCCATAAAACATTTGTGGTCCAATCGTCCATAGTCGCCCCAGACTATCACCTAGAGGAGGGAGTGGTCAGACAAGTTCACCTTGAGAGCTGGAGAGAACCATTTTTTTCCAGAAGTATACAGATGTTACATATATAGCACCAGTAAAACTGACTGTCTTTCTTGAACGTACCTTAAATTACCACTATGCGGACGTCAGGCTTAAATAGACTTAAGTATTATTTTATTGACTGGCCAGAGGCTTCTCTCCCCAGAGACAAATGCTTTCTCTTAACTCTCACTCTAAGCCTTCAGTCCTGATACTGGTCATTTAAGTGTGAAGTCTAAGTCTGGACAAATACAGAAGTGTTTAATGGCATCACATTACAATGTTCTTAGGTTTACCCTCACACACTACCACAGACACAGCCACACAACATTACCTGAAGCACCTTGCCCTGGGGACTCTCATCAAAGAGCAGGTGCTGCTGGTAGAGAGGCTCTAGAGTCTTTCGTGCAATCTTAGTTTTCTTTTTGGCTTTACAAGTTCCATTATCCAGCAGGTACACCTTGACGTAGGGAGCTGGGGATGAAGAGTGGTGGTGGGGGTGGGGGGGGGTTAAGGGCAGATGGACAGGGCAGAAAGAGTGGGAGGAAAGGCAGGGGGAGAAACTTGTTGTTAGTGTTTGATGTTCAGGTCTAAGCCCAGGTTGCATCACAATGAATTTGACTTTGAACTTCACGTCAGATTTGAATGAGAGAGTTTTACCTGGGAGGGATTTGGAGCCTGGTTTGGGGGTAAGGCCTCGTGCCCTGATCACCTCCACTTCCAGCTGGCCTTTCTTATCCATCAAGCCAATCTGGACGTCACCTGTAGTATAAATATAAATATAAATGAGACACATGCAAATAAACCAATTGATCAAAAGTTAAATGACTATTAAAAACTATCAGAGGCAACTTAGAAACCCATCTAGCAGCAGCATATACACAGTCTGTCCACAGACATTCACAGAGAACAACAGCACATCATATTGTAGGTTTTTCCTGCATTACAAATACAGAAATGTCATTTATACATGACATGAGATTTTATGGAGCCGTCACTCACCCATGGCAGGCGTTGCTAATGTTTGCCGGCCCACCAGCTGACCAGGACCTAAACCATCCAGGAAGTCACTGAACTGACTGTCAGCACCCAAACGCATCCCTGAGAAGATCAGACTGACACACACAAACAAGCAAATGAGTCCCTGCATTTTCCACACTGTAATTTTACAGTTTTTACTCAATGCAGCACAGTGTTGCATCATCAGGGTACTCCTGGTGATGTCACCAGGGTTATCTTGGCTTGGGCTCAGAGACTAATAAAGTGACTTCATTCCTGACCTTGGAAGATGCTGTGTGCTATTTTGAGGACTATAAATGAGGATATCTAAGGTTCTGCAGCTTTGATCAAATCTTTTCAGGTGCTGTGCCTGATTGCGTAACTTAATGTAGGGTTGTGAATTCTGTGGGGAACTTGGGAAACCATGCCTCTTTTCTGATGACTGCTCCTCTGCTGTTTATATCAAGAAACATTAAACATTAACAGCTCTACAATCAAACCATATGCACATCTTGGTCGCTGTAGCACCTGTTATACAGACAAAAACACTAATTATGTTGATACCAATAAGTCAAATATATCCAGAGGAGTATTTATTGCGTGTGGAATCCCACCACGTATCTTGTGCTGGGTGATCATAAAAATCCCTAACAAGCAGTTGATGAAACACTCATCCTGTGTTAGGTCATAGGTCAGACAGTCTTGTTTTTTAATGTGCACATACTTCCCCTCAGAGCTGTAGCTGTTCATGCTGCCATCTGTGGACTCTCTGCTGGCCTGTCGGTTCATGGCGGACCCTCCCCGTGGATACTCCACCGCCATGCCCGTCTCCACGCTCCTCTGGATGCTGCTGCTGCCTTTACCCGCCTTCTTGCCTGATGAAGTCTCTGCGACAGACACAGACAAGGGTCCATGAGCCACCAGCTGGTGATATTTAACACTGACTGATATCAGTTATCAGGCATCTCATATCACACTTACCCAAAACTGTAATTGTAGGTTTAAAACAAAGTTACCAGTTTGTGGAGGTTGAGCTGCCTCTTTTCCCAGTCATATATAGTGTATAAACTCAATGCAACAACTCTAAGCCTGATAACTAATAGGCTGAGCAGGTCTTCCCATGCACATTAACATCCAGTGGTGACCTCACCAACATCTTTAAAAATCTGAATGTATAATAAAGAAAAAAAAAACAAACAAACACATGCACATCTTCAGGTTGTGAGGGAAAAGCTTTGTTGAGATGAGCACATACATTCTTTTTTCAATCTGTGGTGTTTTAGGTGTTCAATTAGTAATTTCAGGTGGTGAGGTCACTGGAGGAAGGTCGGCTAAGAGGAAATGGCTTAGTCAATCTAAAACTGCAGAGGACTGAATACAGTGTGCATCCAACCATAAAGGCTGAGTTCAGCTCTGTTTAAAAGGCCTGCTGTTGTCGTCATCAACATGTAACCTCTGTCCACTTTTACTTTTAGTTTGTTATCTGAAATAAAACGGTGTAGCGACTGCACACACTCCACAATTATAATTAATAATCAATTGCTGATTTTGACACAGCTGAGCTTCTAGTAGAACTGAACCAGCCTTTAACATGATAGGAGGTGATAGGAGAGGGCTGGAGTCAGGAGAGTGACAGGGGTCAGGAAGGGCTGGAGATGGTGGGGACCTCTGTCTGTCTGACGAAGCTAGTCTTCACCTTCTTCTCGTTCTCTCTGTGATCTCCTTGGTCTACTCTGTCTACAGCTGTGTCTATTAGAAACCTGTAAAAGTGCTTATTAGTGTGAATGCTGAAAGCATTCACACTATTGTTCTTCGGGTCAGCCATTTTTCTTTATACAATTTTTTATTCTTACTACTTTCTGCCATTTTTTGGAGCTCTATACTCCTTCATACTTGGTGCTATTTCCACAATTCATATATCAAAACGTGCAGCTTTTCTTGGACAGGTGTGCAATTACTTTTCTCTTCATACTATATAAACTTTTTAACTTATTTAACTATTTCTGATGTTTTGTCCCATACAGAATGCATTGGAGCAGGCTTCAGACTCTCAAAACTCTCCAACAACTTTCAACCTCAACTGCTTCCACATACTTTCACCTACAAGCTTCATTAAACTCTGTTCCCAAACCTATAAACTGTTATGCTACCATACAGCTTTTTCATATCTTGTACCGTTATTGAGATATGGCCTTTAAAAGCACAGGACCATTTCTGACAAATCTCACACTTTTCAATGAGTGTGTATTGCATCTAACAGGCAGAGGCTAGAGTGAGTGACCTCATTCAAATCACACTCTACACCAGGGGTGGGGAACCATGTGCCATGGAGAGCCATGTGTCTGCAGGGTTTCCTTCCAACCAAAGACTTCAACAGGTGATTTCACTGATTAACACACCTTCAGCCACAGAGGTGTGTTAATCAATTGGGCCGCTCGTTAAGAGACTCACTGAACAGTCTTCAAAACCTCCGCCTCTTTCAAATGTTATTACTTCAACATACTTTAAGCTGCAGACTGTCACAAGACTTTCTGCCATTCAGCTATCTTTCAACAGTCTTTGATCCATGAAGTGTAAAACTCCATTTCCTCTCGACTCTCTGTGGCTGAGTGGTCAAAGCATTGGTTTACTGCTCAAGAGGTCATGGGTTCAATTCCTGCCTTACCAGTCTCTGTTGCATGTCATTCCCCAGTTGCTCTGTTTAGCAATTTCTTCCGCTAATTCAGCATGGCGCTCAGCTGCTTTCAGCATTCACACACATTTCCTGCTGGAAATGCTCTTTCTAGTTAACTAACTGATTCTCACGTTTATCTAACAGCTGCTATACAAATATATAGCCTGTAAATGTTTTTCTGTATATTTAATATCATGCTCTGTTTATGAGTATTATGCACCTGAAATGCAGCTGTACGTCCTTATGAGGATGAGCTGATAAATTAAATGTTATTTTCAAATCTACTTTTTGTCCTGTCTGACAGTGTCTGACTGCCCATCTTTCAACTGTCTGTCTCTCTCTATATCTGTCTAACTATTGCTTTACCTTTCTGTCTGTCCACCGCCTTACCCGCCGCCTCTGAAATAACACACACAACAACAACAAAGCCCATAAACAACAACATCATAAACAACAGCAACGCTGGATACACCATAGACCTATATGAACATATCACAGTGTTAATTAATCTTACCTAGTGGTTCTTCTGTATCTTTGCTGAGGTACTGTGTGTGTGTGAGTATGGTTACAAAATATGTAGTGAAAGTGATGAATGGGCTTGAGTCACCAAAATTGCAGAGGTGGATTTGAATCTGTGACTATTGTGAAAAGGCGTGTGGCTACATCACTATACTGTGAGACGAGACACTAGCTCATACAGTTAGTGAAGTGGTGTGCTGAAGTCAAAGACAGTGAATGAACTGTAAACATACCAGCACAGCTCCATATCTGGATTCTAGTGGTTGTGGTTCTGCAGCTGAGGTTAAGGCACTATATTGACACTATATTGTAGATAGTTGCTACTACTATATGCCCAGTGATTGTCAAATACAAGCATGTACCATTAGAATGGTTTCAAGTAACCACATATGATGTTCTACATAACAGAATGTAACAAAACGTTTAACAAAGACTGTGTGATGGTTCATAAATGTTAGGTTGATGTCTGTTTAGAGATCTGCTTTTGTGATGCATGATGTGAGTTAAAAGTGTTAAAAAAAGTTCCTCTGAACTCTTTTGGTAGTTGACAGTGAATAGTGAGAAGGACAGATCAGAGATCAGTCAGAGGTACAACTCTCTCTCTGTCTACTTGCTTGTTTCTACTTGTGTTTCTTTGTTTCTAGGTGCGTGGTTGTGTGAGTGTCAGTTAGTCGGCGTGCCCGCTGACCTGTCTGGCTGAGCTGCGAGGTACTCCGGCTGCGTCTGGATGGTAGGATGGCAACAACACGTTGGCTGAGGCTCGAGCGCCGCTTCTTGATCCCGCTCCCCAGCGCTGTGTCTGATTGACTGCCATCAGCGTGCTCCATACCGTAGATCTCACCGCTCACGCTGGTACTCTTCATCATCTGGCGGCCCGTTGCACGCATGGCCCGGCTGATCATTTACCAGTCACAAAATCAATCACATGAGTTTATTCAAAATTAAGCTCACTTCATAGTACCTTTACTGAAAAGGAAACATGAGCATTAAGTAAGAGTGTGTGTATGTGTGTGTGTCAGTGTGTGTACCTGAAGCGTCCTCGGGGTCTCTCTGACTGGATGGACATGTAGCTGGTGCTACTGATGCGAGAGGCACTGCTGGTTCGAGAGATGGCTGACACGTCACTGACATCACTGTCTGAGGACTTATGGGAAACATTTTCACTGCTCCTCCTCTGATCCTTATAGAGCTACGGGAAACACACACACATGAATTCATAATCAAACCCTCAAGACAAGTGTCAATATCACATCCACAAGATCCAAATTGCATTACATGATACTTAAAGAGGAACTATGCAAGTCCGGTGGCTTTTCCTCTGTTTTGCTAACCCTCCTCCCAGCCATGTACATTTGTTTTCACTGAAGCCGGTGAGAAAGCAATCAATAGAGCAGTGTGGATAACGTTATATATCATATACAATGTTATGACGTAGATAGATAGATAGATAGATAGATACTTTATTCATCTCTCAAGAGAAATTCACAGTACCAGCAGCTTACAGATGTGGGAACATGGGGGCATGCAGGGTTTTAGAAAGTATGAAGGAAATAGTACTGGATTACACAGTACCGTTTTAAAGAATATATTAAGAGTGCAATATAATAAGAGTGCATGCAAAATAGAATAAAGTATAAATTGTAAAATATAGTCGAACTCCACTCTTTTGCAGTTGTGCAAGGTGATGGTGTGTACAGCATATGTATTTATTGTGCATTTTGGATTTAGTGCATATTTAAGAGTCCATCTTGTTGATGTGTGTGTGGTAAAGTGCACGTGTGCCTGTGTGTGTGTCCTGGGGTGTATGGTGTGGGTGTGCAGTCCAGGGCTTAGCGTCCGTTATTGTTGTTTCCCCCGAGAAGTGTTGAAGAGTCTCATTGCATGGGGGAGGAATGATTTCCTGAGTCTGTCAGTGGAGCAGGACAGTGACAGTAGTCTGTCGCTGAAGCTGCTCCTCTGCCTGGAGATGGTGCTGTGCAGTGGGTGCTGTGGATTGTCAATGATGGACAGTAGTCTGTTAAGTGTCCGTCGCTCTGCCACAGATGTTAGGCTGTCCAGCTCTGAGCCGACGACAGAGCCTGCCTTCCTCACTAGTTTGTCCAGGTGTGCGGTGTCCTTCTTCCTGAGGCTACCCCCCCAGCACACTACAGCGTACAGGAGGGCGCTCGCTACCACAGACTGGTAGAAGATCTGTAGCAGCTTCTTGCAGATGTTGAAGGACGCCAGCCTTCTGAGGAAGTACAGACGGCTCTGTCCTTTCCTGCACAGGGCATCCGTGTTGGCAGACCAGTCCGGTTTGTCATCCAGCTGCACTCCCAGGTATTTGTATGTGTGAACCACCTCCACACAGTCTCCCTTGATCCGAACGGGTTCGGGCTGTGTCCTGGTCCTCCGAAAGTCTACCACCATCTCCTTGGTCTTGCTGGTGTTGATGAGTAGGTGGTTGGAGTCACACCAAGCAATGAAGTCCAGGATCAGTTTCCTGTACTCGTCCTCCTGTCCACCCCTGATACATCCAACGATGGCCGTGTCGTCCGCGAACTTCTGTACATGACAGAGCTCAGAGTTGTGTTGAAAGTCGGACGTGTACAGGGTGAACAGGACCGGAGAGAGCACAGTACCCTGCGGTGCTCCAGTGCTGCTGGCCACAGTGTCGGACCTGCAGTCCCCCAGTCGTACATACTGAGGTCTGCCAGTCAGGTAGTCAGTTATCCATGCCACCAGATGTGATTCTACTCCCATCTCTGTCAGTTTGTCTCTGAGGAGCAGAGGCTGGATGGTGTTAAAGGCACTGGAGAAGTCCAAGAATGTGATCCTCACAGCACCGCTGCCTCTGTCCAGGTGAGAGAGAGATCGGTGGAGCAGAAAGATGATGGCATCCTCGACTCCCAACTTTTCCCTGTAGGCAAACTGCAGAGGGTCAAGAGCGTGGTGGGTCTGTGGCCTCAGGTGATGGAGCAGCAGTCGTTCCATAGTCTTCATCACATGTGATGTCAGGGCGACCGGCCTGTAGTCGTTCAGCTCCCCAGGATGTGGTTTCTTAGGGACTGGGATGATGCAGGATGTCTTCCACAGGTGTGGAACTCTCCCCTGTCCCAAGCTAAGGTTGAAGATGCGCTGTAGGGGGTGACCCAGCTCGCGCGCACAGGCCCTCAGTAGTCTGGGGGATACTCCATCTGGACCTGCAGCTTTGCTGGGGCGCAGCCTCCTCAGCTCTCCATATACCTGGCTCGCAGTGATTGTGGGTGGTATGAGGGGGGAGGGGGAGGTTTCCACTTCTGTGCTGGTAATGGCTTGTGGGGGTGGTGGTGGGTGAGGTGGGTGAGGTGGGTGGGTGGGGATTGCTGTGCTCAGAGGGGTGAATGGAGTGGGCTGATCAAACCTGTTAAAGAACTGGTTCAACTGGTTTGCCCTCCCCACATCCCCCTCGATGGGGGACTCCTCTTTGTGTTGTGGCCAGTGATGGTCCTCATCCCCTCCCACACATCTCTCATGCTGTTCTGCATCCTTTGTTCTAATCTCCTTCCATATTGCTCCTTCGCCATCCTTAGCTGGACTCTGAGTTCCTTCTGTACCCGCTTGAGCTCCTGTGTGTCACCTTCCTTGAAGGCCTTCTTCTTCTGGTTCAGAAGGCCTTTGATGTTACTGGTTATCCAGGGCTTGTTGTTCGCAAAGCAGCGTACAGTTCTTATAGGAACAACAACATCCATACAGAAGTTAATATAGTCCGTGGTGCAGTCAACCATTTCCTCCATGTTCTCATTGTGAGACCCCTGCAATGCATCCCAGTCTGTGGTTTCAAAGCAGTCTTGTAGAGCCTGCTCAGCTTCAGGAGACCACTTCCTGAACGAGCGTGTGGATGTTGGTAGTCTCCTCACTCTTGGTGTATAGTGAGGTTTGAGCAGTACCAGATTGTGGTCTGCTTTCCCAGTGCAGGCAGGGGGGTGGCGTTGTATGCATCCTTGACGTTTGCATACATCAGGTCTAAAGTTTTATTCCCCCTGGTGATACAGTCCACATACTGGTGGAAAGCAGTTAGTGTTTTGTCCAGAGTGACATGATTAAAGTCCCCAGAGATTAGCACTAGAGCCTCAGGATGCTGTGTTTGGAGTTTAGCAGTCGCGCTGTGGATGACGTCACACGCAGCCTCCGCGTCGGCGCGCGGAGGAATGTAAACAATAACAACAATGGCGTGGCTGAACTCCCTTGGCAGGTAGTAGGGACGTAAACTTACAGCCAGAAGTTCAATGTCCCTGCTGCATGTGGAGATCTTGATGTTCACATGTCCAGGATTACACCACCGTTTGTTCACGTACAGCGCTAGTCCCCCTCCTTTGCGCTTTCCACAGGCTCTTGTGTCTCTGTCCGCTCTGACTGTGCTGAAGTTCGGTAGCTCACGTTAGCGTCTGGGATGCTAGCTGTTAGCCACGTTTCAGTGAAGCACAGTAAACTGCACTCCCTGAAGGTCTTGACAT